GCATTTGCGGTTAATTCGTGTGGTACCCATTTTCCCTCCTTTTGAATTTTTCCCATTGCATGTAGACGTTTGGAAACAGCCATTGGAGTAACATTTAAGAGGTAACACCACTCTGGAATTTTTGAAAAATCGATTATTTTTTGGCTTAAAATGTACATTAGGGTCATAAAAATGATATGCAATTGGTCTTATAACGAAAAAAAAGTCGATAATAAGCGGCCTTATTACCGACCGAGTGAAAGGTTTTTCGGGTTCCTGCCGTCATAGAGATGTTTCAGCGTTCCGAATCATTATTCGATATGAAATATGCCAACTACGTGGGAGACGGGGATTCTAAAACATTCAAGGGCATTATGGATTCACAACCCTATGAAGATTTTATCGTTAAAAAGAAGGAGTGCATTGATCATGTCCAAAAGCGGATGGGCTCTCGCCTTCGAAAACTAAAACAGTCAACAAAAGGACTTGGGGGAAAAGGCAAGTTGACTGGTAAGTTAATAGATGAATTGTCAATATATTACGGCCTGGCAATTCGCAGAAATCCTGATTCAATTGATAAAATGAAAAATGATATTTATGCAACGTTGCATCACAAATTATCAACCGACGCCAACCCACAACACGAACGGTGCCCGCCCAGAAAGGACTCTTGGTGCTCGTGGCAGAAAGCACGAAGATCTACGAAGAATTGAGTCGCGATGACCTGCTCCTTCGTTGCTTAGGCGGTTTCACGCAAAACAGTAACGACAGCCTGAATGCAACAGTGTGGTCAATGGCTCCAAAAACTGTTTCCAGTGGCAAGCACGTCCTTGATACTGCTGTATACATTGCTACGGGCATATTTAATGATGGATTATCAAGTGTGATGAAGGTGATGCAGGGATTGAGCATGAAAATTGGACCCAATTGCTATAATTTTTGCATGGAAGCAGATGAGCGCCGGATCAAACTTTCGGAGAGATCCCTTTCAGAGGAGGCTAAAAAAGCGAGAATGTCGTTAAAATCGTCCAGGAAGGAAGAGCAGGAAGCGAGCATCAATTTAGAAGGCCAAATGTATGGAGCAGGCATTGTAGATGGTAAAGGTAAAATAAAATTTTCAACAATAAAAGGCCTTGAAAAACTTTAAACGCCATTATCTCAAAATCACTTTTTTCGAACTGGGCGCATTGCACAAAGACCGTTCCACCGATCGATTTCAAATTTTAACAGTAACTTCGTAATTACGTTCTTCAGAGAAGTACGTAGCCGTTTTTTGATTGAATGTAAATTTTTTTTTATAAACAATTGACTGACACATTTTTAGGTCAAAAATCGATTTTTTTCTTCATTAGTGCACAGTTTCTACAAAAATCAATTAAAAAAAAATCGCTACGTACTTCTCTAGCCAATAACATCTAAATTAAGAAAATTTTTGGTTTATTGTTCCAGGTCGAAAACTTTTCAAGATATGTGTCCGCCCGTGGAGGACTTTTTAAAAAAAGTTATTTGGGAAATACGCTGTATCGCCGCCATTTTGTTTACAAATGTCAATAAAAAAATTTCTTTCTATACTTTAATATAATACATACTCAATTAACCTTCAAAAGGAAAATCCTATTCCTTTTCTTATTTTCCCACAATAAATTCACAAAATTAGGCCTTTTTTCAACCGCTAGAATGGTGTTACCCCTTAATGCTGCAGACAATTCTTGGAGCGTTTGAATAGAGTTTTTGTCCAATAATGCCTGCAAATCGGTGTCTTCAAACTTTTTCGGTTGGCCTGAGCGTTCTTTATCATTGACATCAAAATCACCACTCTTAAATCGCTGAAACCATATTTGGCATGTTCTTTCCGATGAAGCATAATTGCCATAAGCTTCGAAAAGCAATTTATGAGCTGCAGCTGCAGTTTTTTTCAAGTCAAAGTAATGAAGCAGCACATGTCGAAAAAACAACTTATCACGTTCCATATTTAATCAAAAGAAAAAATAGCACTGCTCGCTTAAATGAATCTCTTCGCACTGAATTTTATTGACAAATGTCTAACCTCTAAAATGCAGCCAGTTTCAGATGTCAAAATAAATTACACCTACAACTAACGTCATCTAACTGTGAGCCGCAGGAACTAAGTTTACCACCTAATATATAAGAAGGTACCTGGTTTAATGAAAGACCAAAACAACGGAGCGATAATGACGAAATTTATCGGACTTAAGGCAAAGATGTACGCGTTGCGAGTGGATGGCAAGAAAGACACGAAAAAGGCCAAAGGTGTCAAGAGTAATGTCGTAGCGCGAGCGATATCTTTCGATGATTATACACAGTGTTTGAGAGAGGAAATCGAAACGATTTGCCATCAATCGTGCATACGATCAAAATTGCATGAAGTGTACATAGTGTCTGAGACGAAAATTGCTCTAAGTCCGTACGATGACAAACGATATATCGTACCCGATTCGACTGAAACGTTACCATAGGGGCATTACAAAATACCATTATAAATAGAATATAAATCGTATATTTTATGTGTAAATAGAATATATTTTATGTATTACATATAATAAGATATAGAAAACATTATAATAAACAGTTATTTTTTACAACACATTATCCTTGTGTATCCACGAGTTGCATGATTTATCGAATCCCAGCTATTTTACATAAACCTTATCGCCTTTTCTGCACAACACTTTTTCCACCAAATACACGTTTGGATTGGCAACACGATGCAGTTCGTACTCGTAGAAACCTCCGACTACAGGCTGTCCGCGAGAATCTTCGAGCAGATATATCACAGGATTGGTCGCCTGCACCTTGACGATCCTAAACACCTCAGTAGTCCAATTGGGTATGTAACCTTTAGCAAAGACAGTATTGAACTTGCTCACGCGCACCTGGTCGCCCACTTTGAATCTCGCCGGAGCTGCAATCTTTACGTTGCTGTAGACCGTATTGAGGAGTTTTTTTAACGATCGTAGGAGTCACACCGATAGAACGCATAACGATGGTCCGACCGCGTCGTTGTTGGCTTCCGGTTGCGCTACGCGTCGTATCTTGCGTAACCTCGCATCAAAGTCGAAGGCGACCATGCACAGAGTGTTATCGCGTACGTAATTTCTGATTACTTCTCTCCACGTGTAACAGTCCATCGTCGATGGTCCTCTCTTTTGGAGCGAAACACCAAATTTATTGATCGACATTTCGATGCGAACAACGCGTATTATCGATGTGCGATTTAATTTATAACAAGGCCCGTCTCGCGAAGTTCCTCGATAATGGATAGAATTTCAATGCCGTGAGCGTTATTGTCAGCTTGTCGGGAGGTTTCCAGCAATCGCAGACGATTTATCAGCTCGTTGGGATAGTCCCAATGAATCGATCGCATTATCGTTCAGTATCATGGTACGCGGTGTGGCTATATCTCTGCCCACCATGTTGATCGATGTACAAATCATTAGGGGTGCAATTATGTTTTTGTACCATATTTGTATCCCTTGTTACTCAATAAGGGTTGTCTGTGAAGTTGGCACGACGTTTTACAAATTTTTAAAAAACAATGACCGTTCTACTAGCACTTTTCATAGTTTTAGAGTTCTGAATAGAAAATAAAAAAAGTACTGCATTTTTAATAGCGAAAAACAGCAAAAGAAAAATTGTCGTACTAACTTCGCAAAGCTAACACGACACGCCCTCCTCTAAAGTACAAGAAAAAAGTAAATATTACTACTTTTAGCAAGAGATTCCGACAGTTCTGATCGAGTTCTAATAAAATGTTCAATTAAGAAAAAAAATTTCAACAATTAGACCTTTTTTATAAACTTTGCATATTACACTCAGCACGACACTTCCGAGAGAAAACATCATGCATACCATATCTGGCCGTTCTATTGATAGTTCCCGTTAGTTCTAGCTGAGTTCTAGTCTTTACGATAAAATTTAAGAAGAGTTCCGGTAACTACCTATTTTAAATAATTTTTTAATCTTCGAAGTTAACCTTTCGACACTTTCGGAAAAATTGCCGTGTTGAACATTTCTTGCACTTTTAACAACAGTTCTCGACAGTTCTAACAGAATTCTAGTCCCTACGATCAAATTTAAGAAGAGTTCCAGTGGCTACATATTTTTAAATAAATTTTTAATCTTCGAAGCTAGCACGACACTTTTGGAAAAAGTATCGTGCTGAACATTACTTGCACTTTTAACGACAGTTCTCCACAGTTCTAACGGAGTTCTAGTCCTTACCATTAAATTTAAGAAGATTTCCGGTAGCTAACTATTTTTAAATAATTTTTTAATTTTTAAACATAGCACGACACTTTCGGAAAAAGTGTCATGCTGAACATTTCTTACACTTGTAACGACAGTTCTCGGCAGTTCTAACATAGTTTTAGTCCCTACAACCAAATTTAAGAAGAGTTCCGGTGACTAACTATTTTTAAACAATTTTTTAATCTTTGAAGCTAGCACGACACTTTCAGAAAAAGTGCAGTGCTGACCATTTCTTGCAATTCTGTTGATAATTATCGATAGTTCTAACAAACTTCTAGTCCTTACCATTAAATTTAAGAAGAGTTCCGGTGGATAATTATTTCTAAATAATTTTTTAATCTTTGAACATAGCACGACATTTTCGGAAAAAGTGTCGTGCTGAATATTTCTTGCACTTTTAACGACAGTTCTCCATAGTTCTAACAGAGTTCTAGTCCTTACCATTAAATTTAAGAAGAGTTCCGGTGGCTAACTATTTTTAAATAATGTTTTAATCTTCGAAGCTAGCACGACACTTTCGGAAAAAGTGCAGCGCTGACCATTTCATGCAATTCTGTTGATAATTATTGATAGTTCTAACAAAGTTCTAGTCCATACCATTAAATTTAAGAATAGTTCCGGTGGCTAACTATTTCTAAATAATTTTTTTAATCTTTGAACATAGGACGACACTTTCGGAAAAAATGTCGTGCTGAACATTTCTTGCACTTTTAACGACAGTTCTTAACAGTTCTAGTCCTTACCATTAAATTTAAGAAGAGTTCCGGTGGCTAACTATTTTAAGTAATTTTTTAATATTTGAACATCGCACGACACTTTTGGAAAAGCATCGTGCTGAATATTTCTTACACTTGTAACGACAGATCTCCACATTTCTAGCAGAGTTCTAGTCCTTAAGACCAAATTTAAGTAGAGTACTGGTGGCTAACTATTTTTAAATAATTTTTTAATCTTCAAAGCTGGCACGACACTTTCGGAAAAAGTGCCGTGCTGACCATTTCTTGCAATTCTGTTGACAATTATTGGTAGTTCTAACAAAATTCTAGTCCTTACCATTAAATTTAAGAAAGCTTCCGGTGGCTAACTATTTCTAAATAATTTTTTAAATCTTTGAACATAGGACGACACTTTCGGAAAAAATGTCGTGCTGAACATTTCTTGCACTTGTAACGACAGTTATAACAGAAGTCTAATCCCTATGACCAAATTTAAGAAGAGTTCCGGTGGCTAACTATTTTTAAATAATTTTTTAATCTTCGAAGCTAGCACGACACTTTCGGAAAAAGTGTCGTGCTGACTATTTCTTGTAATTCTGTCAACAATTCTCGATAATTCTAACAGGGTTCAAGTCCTTACAATTAAATTTAGGAAGAGTTCCGGCAACACCATCTGGCAACACCATAACCTTGAAATATTAGCGATTTTGTATCAGCATCATATAATTTATTTCGTTCGAAAATGTCGAGTTTTGAGCCGAATAAGCGTCATTTGCGGGAACTTTTGATTTATTTCTTTAATTTGAAAAAATCTGCAGCTGAAGCGCATTGATTGCTTGTAGAAGCATATGGTGAGGCTGCTTTAAGTGAGAGAAGTTGTCGTGAGTGGTTTCAAAAGTTTAAGAATGGTGAGTTTGACGTCGAAGACAAAGAACGTAGCGGAAGGCCGAAAGTGTACGAAGACGCGGAATTGGAAGCATTATTGGAGGAAAATTCGTGCCAAACGCAAGAAGAACTTGCACTTACATTAGGAGTGACACAACAAGCAATTTCACATCGTTTAAAATCGTTGGGAATGATTCAAAAGCAAGGAAATTAGGTTCCATATGAACTGAAGC